CAGGTTATGATTGGTTGTTCATTATCACATGATGTTAGCTGACAGTATATCATCGCATGGCCGCCAATGACGGGCGGGCCCACATCTAACAGACTTCGTGATTGCTTTCTGTTCCATGTCTGCCCATCAATAAATGACTTTATGATCATACTCGCAAGACTTGTCTTTTTAACACCCTTTTCGCCGTGTTTCTGACCGTCTTGCATCGACAGGGCCTTTGAGGAGCTGTCAGGCACACTTGAAGGATTCTGCCAGGCTGGTAGCACACAGACTCTCAGCTGGGGGGAATAATTCGCAAACTTAATGTGATTCTGACGATGATCATAACCCAGGAGCGAGCCTCGGGCATATAAGGATTTCATTTGGGTGAAGCTTCAGACAGTGAGAGGTGAGGAAGACCCCAAATTCGGCAGATTTTTTTCACCACTTCAGAGATTCCCTGAAAACATACAAAAAGCAGCAAGAAATTCAAGGCTGCTTTGTTCCAAAACAATTGGAATTTCTTTTTTGGCTCCCAGCGGCACGGCCTTGACGGCAGTGTTTATCTCAACCTCTCCAGGATGGAATGTCAACAAAGAGCCTGATTCACTCCCACCCCCACCACCCGTGTTGGATCCAGCCTTGGAACTCAATAGGCTGAGGAGGAGGTAACTCTGAACTCTAGCAAACTCAGCAGAGATGATAACATCATGTGACTCTGGACTCTGGAAGGGGCCATGGTTGGGCCTAGCACAGACCCCCCTCCCTCAACTTCACCTACTCGTCTGAACCCACCCCATCTTACCTCCCCCTTATGTGTTGTTTGACCCCCAGACCCCTCCCTTCCTTAGCTCTCTTGCACTGAGCGAGTGTTTTTTTGTTTGCATGTATGATTCTGTTTCTTTGTAAAACCCAGGATCAGAGCTCTTTTTTAACTCACCTTTCCTCTTGTGTGTATTCCAAGCTGCAAAAGGCAGCACAACTTGGTGCGCAAGACCATGGACATTCGTTCCCCCATTTTTGTTATTTGTGTGTTTCTCCGGACGGATGTTCTAAACTGTAATTTTGTTCTGCATTGCATCTTTGATGTTGTGTGTGAATGACAATAAAATATTCTGATTCTGATTCATTTTCATATATAGACAGTATATGAGAATAATTCTCTTTACCTCTGTTCTTCCCCTTATAGAAGATCTTCAGGTCCATGACCCCAGTTAGTCTGCCAACAATCAGCTCATTGCTTTGAGATCCGGCCTTTGAAGCTTTGAAAATTCCCATTTTTGACCAGTCGTCCCAGTACAGATCATTCTGAAACCAGAATTCCAGCCAGGCATGTAACAGTTTAAACCTATTCTAGATGTATAATTTATAAAAAGGTCAAAATAAAATATTCTGAGGACTTTATTACCTTGAAAACAGCTATGGCGTATGGATGGGGCAGACCCTCAACAAGAACGCTCCTCTGGCCCCCTGTAAAGTCGGCCTTCTCGATGCGGTCGCTGAAGGCTTCGGTCCAGTACAGCCAGTGGTCATCAGCTGTGATACCGTTGGGCCAGCGGACACCTTCTGACACGATGCAGGACACATTTGTTCCGTCCATGTAGCTCCTGTAAACTCCAGCTGCTCGCTCCCCCCAGTCCGTCCAGAACATCAGACTACAGGACATCCAAAGCATTGCATTCATTTTACACACCAGGGGTCAGATTTACAAAGCTTGGGTACGCACAAAACAAGCCCAGAAACATGCGTATGCACAGTTTTATAAATCTGAATTCTTTTTGGCGTACGCCATTTTCACCTTTTGGCCGTTCGTTCACTTTTAGTATGGTTTCCATTCAATCTTTTATGAATCTGACCCCTGGTGCTTTCCTTTCACAGTAAACTAAAGACGAAATCTACGTTTATACTTCAATACGATGTGAGACAGCAGATCAGTGTCGTTCCTGACACCTTTGTTCTGACCGAGTGTTTATAGTCAGGCTGAAGAGGTGGGGGATAAATTACCATCATTTGTCCCTCTGCCCTCCAACACAACATTTGATGTAGCACAGTGCATGGCTAAGCATAGAAACAACAACAACAGGATAGAACTTCACGGCGTATCGGTGCTGTGTTGGGTCAGGAGATGGAGGAAGAAACACTCCTTTTGTTTTCTTTTATCTTAACAGTGGAGCCATGTTGGTGACATGTTTGCATCTCAGACCAGCTGCTCCTTAAACATGTCCATTTGACTAATTTAACAACTGGCTTCTGCAAACGGATCATTATGCTCTGCATACACATGGTGATGCTGATGCGCCTAACCTTGCCTGATGTGTTTTTACCTCTCTGCTGGCAGCAGGACCAGAGCTCGAGGATGTTCCAGGATGGATGAGTTCAGTAGCGTGTGACGTAGGTCCCCATCAGGATTAGAGACCTTTAAAGGAAACAGTAATGAAAACATTTACAAAAAGACTGGATTATTTGTAACGCTGTTTGAAAATCACATCAAGGTTTTTGACAGAGGACTGATTTGAGGCCTGGGCCCCATAAAACAGTCCTAATTTACATTCAGATTGTTCAAACCAAATAATCTCTGTCTATCAACGTGTAATGTAAACTAACAGTAAACATTTTCTTTCTTTACCTCAATCTTCTGGGCTCCAGCATCAACCCAATAAAGCAGTCTGCTGACAGGGTCAAAGGTCAGCGCTTCCACATTTTGCAAGTCTTTCTTTACTATGACCTCCTGACCTGTACTGCCATTTAGACAGAGACGCTGCAGGGACAGGAAGTCCACGATAAAACAATATCACTGGTGTAATAACAACATAATAACAACATAATAATGAGTCATAAATACTCTAGAGAAGTAATAACCTCATTTAAAGCTGCCTCCCAACTAATGTCATCACTAACCTGAATGGTATCCAGGGAGATGTCGGCCCAGTACAGACAGTTCCTGTCATAGTCAAAGTCCAGAGCTACAGCCTCCCTGAGGCCGGCCAGAGGCAGGCTCTGGTCTGTGCCTGTGGCTAAGTCATAGCGATGGATGGAGTTCCTCACAGCGTACAGGATGAACTCATTGCTCTCTATAAAAACACAGCAGCTATGAGAACACTAGTACCTAACAACCTGTATCAGGACACACCAGCACGTGTTTTTCTACTTATGATACATTGAAAATACTTGCACATGTAGTTTTAGTCATAAATCTTCAAATACTGCCTTCCAAAGGTTTATTTAAAATATTTGGTTTAGTTTAGTTTATATTTAGAATTATACTGTGACACAGCTGCTCTGGGATGAATGTAATTCAATAAATGATAAAATATGAAGAATTAATTATTTTAACCCTCTAAGGCAGCGATTCTTAAACCGTGGGCCGTGGTCCTGAGGGCCTCAAAAGAACAACAGTTTTTAACTTTGGGCCACAGAGGGCCGTGGGACCACATTGATTTAGAATAAGGTGCAATACACTTTCTCACCACTAGTAGCAGTAGTGCACCACTCAGATGTTTAACAACTTTTTAATATGTAGAAGAAGAACCTTAGAAACCTGCAGAGAATGAAAACCTAATTCAAATGAAAATTAGAAGCAAAAATCAAAGTAACTCATCAAAAAAACACCAAAGTTTGTCTCTAATATTAAGTGCAGCTTTTGGTTCTATCATGCAGTATTTTAAAAGTTCAAAACATTATCAAATAC